CGGTCAGGTGAACTTCTTTGTTATAAAGAAGCATTTTTAAAAATAGTGGTTGAGATAACCGAAGAATGTTACAATCAATCTCTTTTCAAGACACTTTATTACTTCGAAAAACCCAACAAATCTCAACCCATATTTTCCACTTAGTCGAAAATCCAGGCCTCTCTGTCCCTCAAAAAAATCAAACAACAAGGAAGGGTTTGCATTAGTGCCCCAAAAAAGGCAATGTCAGGAACATACAGCCTTCTAACTCCCTTCTCCCTTCACTCAAGTCACTTGACACATGACTAACCTATTTTGGCCATAACATTCACCAATAAAACATTCTAACAGCACAGGTCACGTGGTCATTAATCTTCTTCTGGACTATCACAGGAGCAGAGGTTTTATAAATTAAAGAGACCTTTCTCATGACTTCTCATTTTCCCACGCAGACGTAAATCCTACCTTTCCTCCTCTCACGTCCTTTTCTTCCGTAGGGAATTCTGTTAATGGAAAGGATATACCCATCTTCTGTCGTCACTTCATACTCCTCACTGGGGTATCCCCTGAAGGTAATAATTTGACTCTGAAGAAAGAAAAGAAACCGCCTTGGAGTCAGACTGCCAGCCTCCTCAGTTCATTAACATGAGCAAAGTACTCTGGGATCCTTCCAAAGACAGCGATGTGAAATTAAAGGATGAGGTAGGAACGTGCTATACCACCTGCCTATTTGATGCAGACAGGTTTTCTTACGAGACTTGTCCCAGTACAGAGTCAGAACCAGCCAGAGCACAAACCTTATCCTAGGAATGTGGGATCTCCCCTTCCACTGTCATATTAGTTACTCGCATGCTGCTTACAGTGAGAAAGGAGATTGAAGTGTTGAAAAGGAGATTATGATAACAGGGTAAAACACCAAGATGTGGATTTGGCAGACAAAAATTGGAACTGTCTGCTCCCAAGAGAAGCAGCATCTTCTGGTAACAAACCACTGAGGGCAGCAAAAAGCCACTGGCACCACAGCAGAATACGGAAGAAGAGAAGGAAGCGAAAGGCTTCTTTAAAAGCATTTCAGATTTATATCTGAACTTTACACCTAATTCTCTGTCATACAGAGGACATGATCAGCCATGTGCTGAAATGAGCCACAAACACAGCAGCTTTAAAACACTGACATCACACTTCACATGTGTGAGCTGCTGACATTGCCACCTCAGCTCGTAGTTTCATGTCCCATTTCTTATTCACCTTTCTCCTCAAACCTTATGTCTCTTGCAGAGCTTTTAAGTGACTTTGCTGACAAGCTAAACAAAGAAATAATAATTTAAAAAGCCCACACATGTTTAATACTATGATTTCATTAATAGGTTTATCTCCCATCTCTTCTGTCTTGGGCTTTGTGTTATTTTCATCTGATGTATCTCCATCAGCACAGAGAACCTGCCAATAATTGGTTTTATGGCACCAACTGTGCCTTGAGAAAATGCCAGACGTTACTGGAGTTCTGCTCTTAGGCTGCTGGGCAAGGCAGAGCAGCAGCACTTAATTAAACACGCTATTTATTTTAAACCTGTCTTTAATCACCTGCAGTGACATTAACATTCCAAAATGATTTCCATCCAAATGCTCTTAGCCTTAGGCTAAGTGACTGGTTTCAGTCCTCGAAATGCTGTGTAGGCGATACTGGCGACTCGAGCACTTCTTTTCTCACAGACCTTCAGCATTTCTAGCTTGAAACACCTTCTCGCACGTGGGAAAAAACGGCACAGTTCAGACGGGGCAGACGAAAGCGCCGCTAACCCAGGTACCGACAGCGAGCACCCCCCGGAGCCGGCTGTCGCGGCAGCAGGGGAGTTAACGCCGAGCCCGTGAACGCCAGGCGGGAGGGAGAGCAGCGGCGGGGGGGCGGCCGCCGGACCCGCCCGGCGGGGCCCGGGCGGC